GAACACACTTGCCATATGCTACTGAAAAAGGTAGCCACTAGTCACATGTGGCTATTTAAATTAAAATTAATTAAAATGAAATAAAATTAAACAAATTCAGTTCTGCAGTCACACTACCTATATTTCAAGTGCTCAATAGCCTATGTATGTAGTTAGTGGCTACCATATTGGACAGCGCAGTATAGAACATTTTCATCATTGCAGAAAGCTCTTTTAGACAGTGCTGTTAGTTAAAAATGCATTCTGTGTTTTTGCAACTTATAAAAAAATGCTTGAAGGGTCCGTGAAATTTTCCACATCATTTTCTGGGAATTCTGAACTATTATTTCAGAGGATAAAGAGGGATTAGGTGTGGAATTGGGATTAATGTGCTCAGTGTAAGGTTCTAGACAGTAAGACACTGACACCCACCACCATTCACATTGCTGAACATTTATTGATAAATTACATTTATCTCCAAAGTTGAACTTACTTAATATCACAGTCCCAGAAAAGGAAGAAGCTTAATTTTAAATGCCAGCAATCAGAAAAAATAGATTAGGTAGAGGCCTATGGTTTTACAGGAGGCCTTAACAAGTCATAGTTTAGGTATTAATTGATCAATTTATTAAGTGCATTGATTGAGGGAGACCTCAAATGCTACAGCAGCAGCTAAGTTTCAAAATGTAATAACCTGATTTACCAAGATAACCATTGACGCTAGAATTCAAATTGCCCACATAAGAGAATAAAATAAAATTTATTCATGTGGAAATATGTATAATTTTAATATTATCAATTTGTTTTATCTTCTCATAAAAATAAGCAAAAAAAAAAAAAAAAAATTTAGCACTTTGGGGTTATGACCCTGCTTATCAAATTAAAAGCCACACTATATTTTCTAAATTTATTAAACTCAAGAATATACAAATACACTGGAAAAGTTAAAACCCTAAATGACATTATATTAGCTGATGCATGGCTAATTAGATAACCAACTGAGGTCTATTTTTGAAGTAATGCTAGTTCAGAAGTTAGTCTGTAGAATAGGTCCAACTTTTAAATCTACTTTAAATATAATAAGTAATACAAATTGCATAACTCTTTGTTTCCCCCTAAAACAGCTTTTTTTCCTTCTATAAAAGAATTCTTAGTTTTCCAGAGCAGCTTTGTAACAGAGATCACCAACATTAAGAGTCTTCAAATATTATGCAGGAGATCACAAAATGGGGTAAAAATTTAGTCTAACAGTGGATATCCATTCAAGTGTATTCGGAAATGAATTCTAAAATATTCATTTCCTTTGAATACAACAGGTTCAAAACTCTGAAGACAACTTAAATAAGGTAACAATTTAAAAACAGGGTAATGTGATTTAAGAAGCAAGTACAAGCATATTAAAGCATTAGATTAACTGGGTATACAGTCTGCTGGTTATATTACCTCTTCAAGTAGCAGTCTTTTGAAAATGACTATTATACCTGGCCCCAGAGTTTCTGAACTGCACATATCTTAGATTAATAAAGGAAAAGAGATGATTTGCTATTTTATGCAGATTAGGCACTAGATAGAGATTATTTACAAATGATAATATGAGGGCCCAGATCTTCTTGAAAGAATGATTTTAGAAGTTTAAGAACCAATATTATGCTCTACCTTAGCAAGACAAAAGATACAGCTTGGTTATAATTTGTCTTTAAAACATTATCATCCAGCAACAAGCAAAACAGCTCCTTGAAATACCAGTGTAACTGGGGACCAGTTTTAAGTAAACCTGTGTTAACTTGGTAATTTTACAGTGTTCTTTCATCATAAAAAATAAACTCTTTAGATTAAAAAAAAACTACCTTAATATTCAAAATCTTTAGTAAAAAGAATTGAAGTTTATACAATATAATGAAGTATGTAAAGCACTTAGGCACAAACAACTTTACTATGACGCCCTGGAGGAGGGCCTTTACTTTTATTTGGAAGTTTTTTCCTAAGTGTCTGACTATTTATGCTTCTGAAATGAAGGTGCATGGTGAAGTCACTTGTCTAGAGTTTCTAGATTAACTCTAGACTAACCCTGGAAGACACTCCTCTGGGCTCCACTGTGTTTTGGGTTTACCTTTATCACAGTACTCATTATCAAACTTCCTTGTCCGTCTCTGTATGAGAATAAAGGCTCTTTGAAGGCAAAGTAAATGTGGGTTGAAAAATCTCAGCCTCCCTAGAACCTAGCATAGTGCTTAATACTTAGTAGGCATTCAGCAAATGTTTGCTGAATAAATAAACTCAAGAATATAGGTCTGAGAAGATTGTGAGAAAATGACATTTTCTCTTGGATTATTTAACATAATTCAAATTTGTATTTCATAAAAACCTGCTACTCTGTACTCTAAGAATATTGTCAAATAGTGACACACACACAAGCACACCTTCACCTGTTGGAGGGGGGGATCTAAAAATCGCTTTTATCTGGTGACGACAAGCCTTTTTATAAACTCCCACATTTTTCATGCTGTGGAGAGGCCATCAGCAAACCCACCATCTTTCCTTTGTTTTGTTCATTTCAAAATTATTAAATTATTGTCTAAAAAAGTGTAACTCTCAAAAGCTGGGGCTAAAGCAAGGAGAGTAGAGGATGGAAGAGAATATCTTAACATGGAAGGATAGTTAGGGAGAAAAAGTAACCAGCAGCATGCTGGGGACAGAGATGCTCCTATAGGTAGGTGGTTTATGACACTTCTGTTTAAGAAACATCACCTTCATATGTTAACTTACTTTAACTTTGCCAAATGTGAGTTGAAGAGTCAAAGAACTTTCCCACCTCTCTCGAAAAAAAATAGGAAAGGCTACTGAAGCAAATGAAAATTAAACTAGAACATCTTACCCCTCAAAGACATTTTTTTTTCCTCCATGAAAATGGTGCAAGCTATTTCTTTTTAAAGAAGGAGGAAAAATAAAAAGAGAACTAGCACTGACTAATAGGAAGGGCCAAGTAAAGCTTTAGGAGTTGTAGTAGAATAATTTTTTGTAAAAATATTTTTAGGGGGCCATGATGACTGGAGTCCATCCATTAAGGCCTACCTAAAACAATAAATTAATTAAAGAACAATATTTTAATATATTGAAGGCTTATGAGCTATACTAATAGGAGGTGGCAGTAGGTAAAGGTAATTAATTTTAGACTTTTACAAAATAAAAAGTAGATGTTTTAATTAACAACATAAAAAATACTTTGTTGCTTAGGCCAACATTAAAAACTGTTTGCTACTGCTATATACACAATAATTTTATAGCAATAGGGTGGAAGCCCAGAAGCAGGCTAGATAACAGCAAAGTCACTAATCTGGATTGAAGGTTTGCCTTGGAGAGAAAATGCAGAACAGAATTTCAAATTCTCAATGAATCCAGACATTACGGAGCCATGGAAGCTGGATGAACCTCCAAAACCATTGCCCTGAGATAATCTTTAAACCTTAAACCAAAAATTCCCCTGAAGACCGCTTAAAACCAAACAGTAGCTT